TTGTACAAGATAGGCTTTATAACAAGTCCTTTTCAGTATGAACTTACTGGAAAGATGAAAAGCAATGAGAAAGTTGAATGTGAGTTGTCTGTGAATGGAGCTTTCAAAACTCTGAAGATTCAAAAAGGGATGAAGAGTACACTTTGATAATGAAATGTGGAAAGAGAAAAATTTCCTAGCAAAGAAGGTTAAAATTGATTCATTACATTTGAATTGCATTTTAGCAAGTAGGAATTAATGACCAGAGAATTATAAAACTATGCAATAATTGTGAGAACAGAACTGCCTTCTGTTCTTCATGAGACTGACACTGTAAGTTTGTTGCTATTGAAATGAGAGAAAATTATCTGGTTGAAAAATCTATGAGAATTTTTTGTCATATTTGTCAACAGCTTTTCTGTATTATTATATGTCTTCCTTATTTTCTGACCTCAATACAGCTTTCAGAAAAGTGAAGCTTCATCCAAGCAAGTATTTTGTGAAGAACTTTTTTTTTTTTGTCATTAATAGGATGTTGTTTGGATATTTAACTGAAAAAATGAATGAAGGCGTAACCATTAAACATTCTTTTATTCTTTGGTGTATATTATGACTGCATCACTATCAATAAGGAATTCACCATACAGGAACTCAGGTCAAGCCATAAGATCATCAAAGACTGGGGTAATGAAACTGAAGGGAAAAAAAAAGCTTACAAAAAAGTAGATGTGATAAAACACAGCAAAAGCTGAAAAGGAATGAAGCAAAAAAATCTTTTAGTGAAAAATGTGGCCATATTACAAGAAAAGTCATCATCACTGTCTGTAATTAGACATATATTTAGCTAGCTTACCAGACACTTCCCATTATCTTTTGTCATTTGTGTTGAAACTTTAATCACTTGGACTGGAATTTTCTGCACCATGACAGTAGCTTTAGGTCATATAGATTTGTATCTCCCTTAAATGTCAGGTAACACCACTGGAGAGTTACTTTAAATAAAAACAAGTGGGAGAAAAGAAGCAGTATTTTTTTATTATCTTTTAAAAAATCAGAATTACTATTTTTAAGAACTGCTGCAGTTGTGCACCTTAAACTTGAAATCTGTTATATTAGATGGAGCCGTATTTGGTTGAGGATTACTCTGCATAGATTACCAGCATAAGAAATATTTAAGACTAAAAGTACGAAAATTCTTTCAAAAGTTCCTTCTGAGATAGATGGGAATAGAGGTTTCTTTAAATAATGCAAGGGGTCCCTAAAACCAGTTTACACTGAGTAATATTTTTATCCTTCCAGCATGAATTGAATACCTGAAGGAATTTCTGCAGAAGTTTCTCCTCAGAGCCAAGGCGGGTAAAGCATGAAAGAGAATATGACCAGGTTTCATATAGCATTCACAACTATGAAATGTAAGACAAATCACACCATCTCCCTCAGTTCTTTGATAAAGATGTTTTATCTTCTGGACTGAATAGAGGTTCCATTCATCATGTCCAAAAATATGTGTCTGAAGAGTGAGGGGAAAAGATCAGACAGGACGAAGTTTTCAGTGGCTTGTCTGGATATAGTTTTATTTTTGTGTCTGAAATTGGTTTGGTTAAGAAACATGGGATGTATTGGAGATTTTAGATTTAAATTACCTGATGTACAGCTTTTTCACATTCTTTTAATGATATATGGGACCTTACAAGATTTTAAGGTTGTGTATTGATTATCACAGAGAAGAGGAAACTTATACTGAAATAGCAATATTCCCTTTCTGAATAGGGACAGTAAGTGAAACTTGGAAAGGATAATGAATAGCAGAGGTATTAATGTCACAGAAAAGTCATCCAAGTTGAATTAAAGCAGGAAATCCATCTGTACCTGGTAGCTGGGAGTAAGCATAATAAAGGAATAATTCCAGCTCTGTTGCTGTGAAATGAGCATGATATAGGAACGTGTGGTAAAAAGCTTTTTGACTTGAAAGTACCCCAGGAAGTACATTTTGCCTAGCGTGTCCTCAAATATGTAGTAATTGCATATTTCAGTTTCCCTTTTAACCTCTTTATTCCCAAACTCATAGTCATTCCTGTCCAAACCTTTTCCTAAAACCTTTATAAATACACCAGGGCTTAGCTGTACTGAACAGCCCAATACCATAGACAAGACTGATGAGGAGGAAAATAGAGACCTGAAGGCAAAGTGTTTCAAGGAAACAGTAGATTAATATATTGAAGGAAGTACTGTCATTCTGGAGATAACAGAGCTTCAAAGATGGGCTTGTGGAGCTCAAAGTCTGCAGAAGATGTTGACTGAAATATACTGAGCCATGGTCTGCAGAGAAATGTCTGGATGCTTGAGGCTTCAGGAAGGGAGCACTTGGACTTGAGGAAGGGAAAGGCTTTGCTTTGTGCTTCTGAGATTGCTTACAGACATTGCTCTGAATTCCAAAGGTGCAGTGCACTTGTTTTTCTATTAAACTAAGTGAATTGGTCAAGTAGCTGAAAAAGAGGATTCCTGATATCTACTTTCAAAATCAAAGCATTCACAATAGATGAAAATAGATTTAGCATAGGCTTTGGGCAGTTTTGTTCTTTAACTATGAAGTTGATCCTACAATCTAAACTCACAGGTATTCTGTGAAGCTAAATTGGATAGTACCTTTGAAATACTCGCACAATGAAAAAACAGGAAGAAAATAATTGTTTGTAATACAAATTCTGAAAAGACCTTGGTTAAACAGACATATGAACACACATTGGGTTGAAAGATCAAAGCAGTTATTGAGAAGACATTAAGGAAGAAGCAATGGTGAGAAAAACAAATGAAAAATATCTGTGTCAAGTCTTCAGCAAAAGTAAGCATAAAGAGTTGAAGACATATGTTTTAAATAAGGGTTTAGTTACATTCCCTATTCTATTCTATTCTATTCTATTCTATTCTATTCTATTCTATTCTATTCCATTTAGAGCACAAGCACTTAAAAACACAGTAGTCTTTCTTTTTTGTGCAGAATCAAATGCTTTTCTGGAAGCAAACTCCAAAATTCCATATATTAATAGAAATTGAATGAGAGGAAATCTGCTCCTTCAGCATCTCCAGGTGGAGATGCCCAAAGAGACCTGCAGTGGTGGGGAAGAGCTGGAAGTGTCAGAAATGAAGGAGTGAAGTTGGGCCTGAGAAGAAGAGGGAGTGGAAGGGTTTGGGGCTTTTATTTCTGGGTTTTGGGGTGTAGGGTTTTGTTGCGTTTGTTTAGTTTTGGGGTCGGGTTTTTTTGGTTGGTTTTTTGGTTGTTTTTTTGATTAGTTGGTTGGTTGGGGGTTGAGGATTTTTTTGTTTGTTCTTTTTTCCTCAGTATCATTCTCTGTTTATAATTGGCAATAGATTAATTTAATCTTTTCCAAGCTGAGTCTGCTTTGCCTTTGATGATAATTAGTGGGTTATGTGTGTTGTTATTTCAGCCCATAAGTTTTTCTATATAATTTTCTCCCCTTTTTCTATTGAGGAGGGGGAGCAAGGGAGTGGTTTAGTGGGCACCTGACAACCAGCAAAGGTCAACCCACCACAAGAGCTCTGAGCCTTTCCTCTCAAAGAAGGGATTGATTTTGCCTAATACAACTTTGGGAAGAGGTGGTGTACATTACAGGAAAAAAAGTACTTTTTCTTTAAATGTCAAAAATGCTGAAACATCTGCTGAGTAGTTATTGTATCTACTGAGATCAGAAATGTGGGTCTACCGTGGAACTGGAAAACTCTAGAAAATCAATGTGTGCACATATTCTGTCTCTTGCAAGCAGGCAAATTACAAAAGAATTATTATAGCACTACTAAGTAAATTATTGAAAATAGCAATAGCTTAATGAAGAGTCAGGTAAGAAGCAAGACATACTATTTTGCACACTATTTACACACCTGCTTGAATTTCTCCCTCTGTTGTTTGTCAGATACCAGTGAGTAGGTTTGCCCATTTTCTTGAGAATGAAAACTGCTTGATGAAAATTTAGAACCAAGTATGAGATATGTTTACAATAAATGGAATAATTTAGCTGTCACATTTATAGAAGGATAGCTGAGTACATGGATGCAGCATCACAAATACTACTTTTTCATTTTATTCAGTCACAGGGTTTTCACAGTTTGCAGAAAGAGGAATAGAACAAATTGATGTCAAAAGTTTCCCAGAGCCTCTAGAGGGATGGATTGCTGTTGCTAGCATATTAAGGAAAACACCTCAGAATCAAAAAGCAGTCTCTCTGTATGGTGGATGAAACATTACAAAAGAAGGCTGCAAAATATCTCCATCTAAGGTGACCACCACCTGTAATAATGCATTATTAGCAATGAAAAAAGAATTTTTGAAGGTGAATAAATTAATGCTTTTCCTTCTGATAGAAGCTTTTTGATGGAACACTTTACATGTTTCTGATGAAGGGAATAGTACTTACAGGTGTATGGGGGCAGACCCAGTCTATATGTGCTAAATTGCAGGCACAATGTTAAAAATCACTCCAAGAAGGAGAGAAAATGTAGTTTGATGCATTGTGAAAGATATATTTAGTCCTAACATTTGATATGAATTAGCTACCTTTTGAGTGGCAGTCATAGAAAATGATTTTTGGGAGTGCAGAGCAGACAGTATAAAATAAGGAACAGAGATGTCTGAGAAGAAAAATTCTCCATTGATGGCAAATTTTGTCACTGTTAGGTCTCTCTCACTTCTTCTAAATATTCTCTGCAAGAGAAAAAATCCTAGTATTTGAAAATATTTTCTACCATGCTTTGCATTTAACTCTTCTGAGTGAGGCTAGTGAAGTTTACCATAAAAATCCCCAGGATAATATTCTATCCCATTTTTATTTTTTGTGGTGGTGGTGTTTTTGTGTTGTTGTTGTTGGGGTTATTTGGTTGGTTGGTTGGTTGGTTTGGGGCTTTTTGCTTATTTGTTTGGGGGTTTTGGGGTTTTTTTCCTGCTCAAATGATATGGAAAGCCTTCAGAAAAGTGCTGATAGATGTTGAATATGTATTTCCTTTTCCAGGTGCAGAGACCAGAAGATACATCTATCCTGTCCTGTGAACCATGTAGTATAAGGGATGTCTTTTTCTAAATATATATTTTTGATAATAGAAGACTGAAAAAGTGCCTGCATATGTTCTATAAAACAAAGTGTTACATTTAGTTTGCTTTCCTTGCTAGGTTATCTTCAGCCTTTTCAATTTAATTTTGTCTCCAGCTTGAACAAAAGAAGGCTGGGAGAGAGCAAACGCTCTGTTGGTAGTTACAGTTCAGGACCTGTTGGGTCTCCTGATCAACACAGGTATTGGACAAGTAAGCTCACAGAATCACAGAATAGGTCACATTGGATGGGACCACATTGGGTCATCTGGTCCAGCCTCCCTGCTCAAGCAGTGCCATCTTTAAGCACGTGGCACAGGACTGTGTCCAGATGATTATTGATTATCTCCAGTCTCCAGAGGGAGACTCTACAACCTCTCTGGTCAAACTCCTCTAGGGCTCAGAGTACAGAAGTTCTTCCCCTCATTCAGGTGGAACATCTGTGCATCAGCTTCTGCCTATTGCCCCTTGTCCTATTGAGAAGAGCCTGGTCCATCCTGTCTGCACCCACCATCTGGACACTTGTGTACATTGATGTATACAACTGATCCCTTTAATCTCTTCTTGAGGCTGGGCAGGCCCTGCTCTCTCTGCCTGTCCTCATAACTGAGATGCTCCAGTGCCTTCATCATCTTTGTAACCCTCTGCTAGACATGCTCCAGGAGCTCTGTGTCTCTCTTGTCTTGCAGAGCCCAGCCCTGGACACAGCTCCCCAGATGTGCCTCACCAGGGCGGAGTAGAGGGGCAGGATCTCCTCCTCTGACCTGCTGGCACTGCTGTTCCTGATGCACCTCATGACCCCACTGGCTTCCTGGGCCACAAGGACACTGCTGGCTCATGGACAGCTTGCTGTCCACCAGGCCCCCCAGGTCTCTCTCTGCAGAGCTGCTCTCCAGCAGGGCAGGTCCAGCCTGTGCTGGTGCCTGGGGTTGCTCCTCCCCAGGTGCAGGACCCTGCATTTGCCTTTGCTGAACTGCATTAGCTTGCGCTCTGCCCAGCTCTCAAGACTGCCCAAGTTAAATTTCATATGCTGTCACATGCAGAAATTGCAGTGTTCAAACCTTAAGGGTAAGTCAAGCCCAGCCCATTGAAATCTCACTGCATCAACAGAAAATGTTTTATGATCTAAAGGTCACTGAAAGGTATATGATTCTTCACAGGCTCCAGAAAGACTATTATGCTATAATATCATGTTACTAAATTTATTTCTTATTTGTCAAATAAACCCAGTAATGGAAAACTTTAGCTCAAAGAAACTAAGCAGCTGCAAAGTGATCAAAACAGTCCAGACAAGTCCTACAGCTGTTTTCCCAGGAACTTCTTGTTTATTTAGTTCATCACAGAAATGGTTGTCTGCTTGTACATCACATAGGTGAAAGTACTGATTGTGGTCCTCTAGGCTAAATAAACACAAACATAGAGCAGAATGTCACCATCAGAAGAGATAGGATTCAACTCTCTTTTAATATGGAATCAAGTATCAGAAAACATCTGATGAAAAGATAATTGAAAAATAAAAGGGACATGTTCTGGTGCAGAAATGGGAAGAAATACTTTTCTTTTTCCTCTGCAAGAAGTAATAAAAGAGATTTCTCAAATATCCCACTACAGCAAAAGGATAAACCCCAGATCTTTTATAAATAATAATAATTTCAAGATAGCAGATATGATAGAAGAATTTGGAGGGTATATTTGCCTTGAGTGTCTGAAATACAAATAAATCTTGCAGTTCTTTTGCCAGGATAGTGAAAACTCTTCATCTTGGCCCTATGGGTCATTTTGGGGTGGTGCATCAGGCTCTCAAGATGCACAAATGTTCACTCCAACAGAGGTTTTTTCACTCACTGAGCATTTGTGGTTTGGACCAATCCTACTGAAAGCCCTGTCCCCAGAGTGGGAGCTTTGGATAAGTTTGAAATTTGTATAAATTATTTTTTAAGCAGAAACAGAAAAAACACTACCTATAAGTAACTGGTATTGTCCCTCTGAAAGTGAAGTTTTAATCTTTCAATTCAAGTGACTAGAACAGCCACTACAGGCAAGAATTTACTTTTACTTTTTTTACAGATGGACTTCATATAGAATCAGAGTGCTATGCATTAGTAAAAAAGTATTTGCTTTATGACATGTCACACAAATCCATATTTGATTACATAGAAAACAGCCTTAAATAAGATAAACACCCCGTTATGTGGAAGTTTTATTTTACTGTATTTTCATTAAATGAAGGCATTATTTTCCTTGTCTATATGCAGATGCCTCTGTTATTATTATTCTTCAAGCTGTTTCTAAGCCAAAAGTGGTGGAATCTGAGACAAACAAGAAGTAGTTAAATCAAAAGGAAAAAAATATATATGTGAAAACTTCCACACAGTATTGTCTTAATTATGTTTTTGCTAAAGTAGAGACAATTTTATCACTCAGTTTAAAGGAATCAGGATTAGGAACAGTGTAAGAGTCCTTGAAAATGCCAGGTTATGGACACTACAACTGATTCCTACCCAGATCAAGAAAGACATGTTTTTTTAGGGAATAACCTTCCTCAGAGATGGAATTTATGAGTAAAAAAATAGAACTGTTATCTACAAAAGAATTACATTTTTTTAGGGTGCACAAATATATTCTTCTTGCTACAGGTTGAATTTTTGGGAAAATGCAGTGTATCAAAACGAGAAGTGCTAATTTGCAAGAAAAACTTTTTTTTTGTTGTTGTTGTTTGTTCTCATAGCACTCTTCCCTTCTCTTTAGCAGCCTATTTTTTGGCTGGATATTGTATTTTGGTTTATTTTTTCTTGCCTTTTTGATACCCTGGATTGGAATAAAATAAAGCCACTCCATGCTAGAATGATGAGCTCCATGGACTGTTCCAGCAGTCTGTCTTTGCTACCCTATTTACATAATATTGCCATCAATTGCTGTAATTGCTTGATCCTGATGCATCCATTTTTAGGTTTAGCAAATTAAGATTTTATCCCGCATTCATAGCAATTCAATTCAGTTCATTTAATTGGTAACACTAAGGGCTCAGTGTGTTCTTAATGCACGTAAAATGCCTTGGTATATTATGTCTGGTGCGTTCTCAGGGATTATTTAATTCAGTGAGTCATGTTAGTTTTCAGACTATTGCCACTGAGATTAGGCAAGTCATCACAGAGGTGGTTGGGGTGGATCCTTGGAGATCAAGCTAAGAGTAGGTCAGTAGCTGGTGTGCAGCACATCACATGATGTGATGTGATGGGATGGGATGGCTGTGTTTCAAAATCAGGTTATTGGTAACTGATTCCCCACAGAATGAAACAGAAACAGGACCTGTACAGGCACAGAGGATCTCTGAAGATCATTGGAAACCAAATGCCATTGGGAGCCTGTCAAACCCAATGTAGATTTTGTTAAACAAATTTCCTCAAAACAGTGTTTTCGCACCTTTTGACATCAAGAAAAACCTGTCCATCCTCCCTGGATGGTTTAATTTCATTTTTGATAGGAGCCACTGCAAGCTCTAGTTGTAGCTAAGGACGTTCACCAGAAAATTGAAATTTTTGTAACCAGCTTTTAAAGCTGTTTTTTTACTTCAGAAAAATAGATGCTGTGACATCTGATAGGGGATACATCAGAGAAATTTTTAGTAACATTTGTTCCATGAAGATAAGAGTAGCACAGCACTTCCTAGTCTAATTGCATTTGTGATATATATAAAAACCCAATGTGTATTTATAGATCTTACACAATGGCATTCTGCCCTCCCTCTTGATGTCTTGTCTTTAACCAATGAAGTCTTCTCTGCAGCAAAATTACCCAGAAAAAAATTAAATCTACTTTTTCAGTTCTGAACTAAATAAAAGAAACCAACTTCCCCACCTGCTGTGGCTGGCTGAATACAGAGAGAAAAGCAGTGTTAATTCAAAAGAAAATCACACAGTGAAGATCCATTCACAGCTATTCTCATGTCCTGCTTGCTTTCCACAAGGAAGTAAAAACATGAGTCTGAAGCAAATTTCCTTTCCGAGGGGTGCCTTTGTGAATGCAGTTTTGTTGGGAGCACACCTGCCATTCAGTGAGCAAATATGTACTCTGATCTCCCACGGATCTTCCCTTCCACTGTGGCTTCCAAAATATCTGGGGTGTGTGTCAACCCTGCCTATTACTAAATCCTCACTAGGGTATGTCAGATGAAATAAATAATCTGTTTGTAATGCCAGAAATCTCTGCTTGCTAGCATAAAGCTATGACTATCTCACATAAAGAAGATGATTTTCCACAGTTTTTTATCCATTTTCAACTAACTGCATTACCTCACATCTCCACGTGAGGCAAGAACTCACAGATACTGAATTACAAACACTGTGACATTCAGAATAAAAGAGTACTGCTAAGAGTACCGCTACTGACCCAAATGACAATATTTCTGATTTCTGTGAAGTCCAGTTCAATTATTTAAAGGATCAATGGCCCCATTAACACTAGAGAGAAAGTGCAGTTGGACATTATGATAATTTTTAATTCTCTGTCTTATCCATATTAAGTGTGGCAAATCATAAGATAATTTTGACCTTTCACCTGATCCTCCAAAGCATTCTTCAGACTTCTTCGAGGTTAAATTCTTCTTACTTAGACTTGAAATAGATGACTTTATTATCTCTTTTGTATATCTTTCAAACATTAGATTTGATCCTGAAAGTACAGAACTACAGAAGTGTGTGTTTCATGGAGATAACGCCTATTAACCTCACAGTTTTACCCCCGAAGATTTAGTTCCTGCTTTTTTTTTAATCATTGAAAGCTTTGATTATTTTCTGTAAAGATGAGATTTCACCTTGTGTCCAAGTTTTAAAGAACAACAAAAGGTCTTCTAATTTTTTTTTCATGAGTATGTCTTTAATGAAGTATCCACATATCTATAACATTTTCCCATACCTTCCAGAAAGTGTGACTGAGGATAGACTTCCATAACCTCAGACTGTAGCTTGATGTTCTTTCTCAATGTGGACACATCCCCCGTTTTCATGTGCACTTCTACTGAAACA